TCAAAATCTCAACATGGCTTAAACAAATGCAGGAAGCTCGAGGAAAGTGTAGATCAAATGTCATTTATTGCATTCAAGCTGTTACCTGACACCTAACAGTCTTTTCAGAATGGTTAAAAAAATGTTGCAGTATATGCAGTACGTAGGATTTGATTAAGTCCTAAACACTGATCAAAGAACATGAGCTAACGTAGGTGTGGGCAAACATTTTCACTCACGGGCCACAATTGTCCTAAGATTTAACAGGGGCACCAGGTCAGGAGCAGATAGATGGAGTGTTCGTGTGAACTAAGATAAATGACATGTAAAAGTCATGCTTCATTCAAGATTAAAATGCTAAAACACTTTTATCATTTTCTATGCCCTCTATTGGGGAAACGTGGGTATTGCAGGGAAAAGGCAGAAGTTTAATAATATTACACTTCTATATAATGGGGCAGATTAAAAAGCTGAACGGGCCGCATCTGGCCCCCGGGCCTTAGTTTGCCCATGCTTGATCTAACGCCTCCTTTAAATGCATTTTATTTCTGCCTAAACCACGACTCAGATGTTGTTTCATCTAATTTAAATACATTCCTTGACAAACGACTGACAGAATTAATGACAATGGTCTTTTTTGAAAACTCTTGCGATTAGAGAAAAAAATGAAGGAAACTTCACGGCGGTAACCACAGAGGTGGGTCAACTCATGACGTCTAGATCCTGCCAACAACTCAACCAATTTATTATCAGTTAAACAGGATGGATGGGCTTCCCACATTTCATTGGTATAAGAAATGAGGCACAGCAAAGGAAACCGATCCATCATCATTTCCACGTAGGCAGGACGGGCAATGAATGGCTCTTAAGAACACCATTTATTAGGGCTTATGCTGTACTGTGTATCTATCTGTGGTGCTTCTTAAAATGTACAACTGCACCACTGCTGGTGATGAATCAGGACACAAGCCTCCAAATCCGCTGGGATAGTGACTCAGTGAGAAAAATGAACTGCAGTATCAGGCTGCTGCGTCAGTGCAGCCGGGACTGGGGTAGATGGAGAAGATGAACATATTCTGCACAGATTTGGACACTTTTTTTCCCTCTGGCCCTCTGTAGTTTCCCCACTGATAATTACATTTATTTAAATAATCCTCTTTGAATGGCAGCTCTAATTATCCTGCGTAAAAAAAGTAGCCTCGTTGATACCTCGGAGACAAGGGATATTACAGAGTGTGATGAAAAATATTTTCAGTCATGACCAAAGTCCTCTTTGGTAGATGCTTTTTTCAGTGCTGCAGTTACCAATTAGCTGTTTTCATGTAGCATTAATGATTTTATACTGTTCGTTTTCAAGTTTTGGGGGATTTTCTCTTTTTCCTACTACTGATCTGTGAGGAAAAATAAATGATTGTGGACTATTTCAGGGAAGAAATGAGCAAGCAATATAAATGTCAAAGGGTTTATGACCCTTTACAACACACAAAGGTTTTTTTTAAAAAAAACAAATCATGCTGTAAAACAGGCTGGAAGAATTTTTTGGACAATTTTTAAGAGCACATCTAAGGAAAAAATATGAACCATACCAAGATAATATTAATATTTTTAATAATAACTTAGCATAATGACATTACTTAGAGTTTTTAGAGCAAGTGTAAAATTAAATAATAATAAAAAACCTTTAGAAAAAAATCCACAAGTTCTTCACGGTCCATTATTTAAAATACTGTCTTTAAAGTTAAAATTACAAATCTGTGGCATAAATACAGTAAGTAAGGATGTCAAAATCTGGGCCACCAGCAAAGGGCGCCCCGCTCCCCATTGCGACAATCTCTTTACTTGAGAAAGACCAACAGTTATTGCCTGGGCTAGAAACTGATATCTTCCTTTTGTAAGGCGAAAGCGCTAACCACAAATATAGACATGTCCATAATCCCTGAATTGGACCACAAGCTAAAACCATTAACAAGAGCCCACAGTGTTTCTACCTCAGTACATTCATCATCCCAGTGTAGCACAGGTGAACCTGTGGAAATGAGTAACCCGACTGTCTTAAAAGAAAAAAAAGAAAGACATGCACTACGTCCATGTTGGACTCTCTTACTTACTAAGAACATTGATAGCTTTGTTGCCAGAATAACTTCATGGTATATTTCCACAACGCTGCTGCTGCAGTTCTTGAATTTTGCCAGGGAAAGCCATCATGTGAATTATTAAATTAACCTTAGATTCTGATTACCCACTACAGATGGACTCTCCCGTAATCACCCATTGAACTGTCTATTACAGTGTAGACCCTAACGCCTTGTGCCCAGGCAACACCATACTTATATACAATAAGTGATGGGCTTCATTTGTGCGTCGACCGGGGGACGTAGCGTGCTAAATTAGTGACAAATAGCTGCTGTCTCTGCTTGTTGTCGCCACAACAATGAAGCATGTCATTGTTCTGTAACACATGCTTGGAGGACAGTGATGACATTTAGCCTACACACACTCTCTTACTTTTTCTGTCTCTCTCCAGCAGGCATTTGCCGAGGGCATTTTTTGTGCCAGACAAACCTTTAAAGTGGCAATAAAAAAGTTGCATGTGGTAAGTTATGAGGAAAGAGGGTGATGACTATTAAAAAAAAATTAATACCCAGGGCTGGTGAAGATGTTTTTGTACACGACTTTCTTCAATTCCTGCAGGTGCAACGGGCCTGTGTTCAGCTAAACAAGCTCTGGTTTCACACTGAGTAAGTGAATTGTGAGTAAACTGAAACGAAAAAATTGTATTTCGGTACATGGACTTTGTGGGACTTTTTTGTGGATATCTTCACCTGACCATGATGATGGTTGAGCAGTAGAGTATAGATGAAGCTATCCAATGACGGGGGATGGGATTACTTAAATTAAAACAGCTTATGAAAAGACACATTAAGATTAAAATTTTGTCAGATAAGAAAACATCAACTTTTTTGTCTTTAAAAACTGAGGCTCCAGAGATGCTAAAATTGTCCCCTTTCACAAATAGTCTGTACTGCACACTACAGTGTTACTCAAATGAAGTTTGTCCAAGTGGAATTGCCTTTTTTTTTCTCTTTCCAAGATGACACCCCTTTGGGGCATACTCAAATGACAGCAATGCAGATCGTGCAGGTGATATTCCTTTTTTGGCTGCTAACCATTAGCACCATGCTCTCTCCATTCAGGGAGTGAACTCTGATATCCTGCTAAAAACACCTTTTTTAGATCAACCATCAGGTTGGTGATAAAACATCACTCTAACTCCTGGGAGTAATTACCACCTAGTTTTTTTATGACTAAAGTTGGTGTTTTTTTGTAACAGATGTTAATAAGATTTCTTAAAAAACAACCCCTATGGGTCGGGGATGATACTGTTATCTGAAGTTCCCTTCCAGGTGGCTTGAAATTAGACTCAGGAGGGACGTCTGTCTCGCACTGTGGAGCCGCTATTTTTGTGTTTAAGTGCACTACTGCACTTTGTAGCCATGACCTGCATGGTGGACAGACACTTAGCTGCAAAATCAGACCAGTGGTTGTTGCCTCAGCCCAAAGAGCATCAATTTTAGGGGAAATTGTTCCTGTTATAACACAAACGAAAAAAAAAAAAAACAGAGTGCAGACATATCTGATCTACATGACAGAGACACTGAACTGTGAATACTATTTTACTTTCACAAATGCTTAGATTGATTTTTTGTCTGACTGGGAATTTTATTAATATTCCCAAGCAGATAAGAAATGTCACCAATTAAAAATCTGTGAATTCCTACATTAATATGATTTAAAATTGAAGTCCGGAACATCATCAGCATGTCATTTCTCTGGACCTTCAATGCTCTGCCTAGTTTTCCATATTTTAGTGTAGTATTATATAAAATTCAATTAGGTCAGGAAAATGAAAATAAATTTAAAATAAGTCAAAAAAGTATATACATTTCTAAGCCTATCAAACAATAAATGTGTTTACTGTGATTAATCACGTAATATGTGTGGAAATAATCGTGATCTGATTAATTGGTCGTGAGGTGGCATTTTAAACTCCAGGTGCTTCACTGAAACGCCTTCCCACAGTATGTGTAAATGACAACGTGTATACTGTGGATTGGAGCAACGATAAGAAGATGAGTGACAACATAATTGGAAATATAGTGGATGTAATTCTAAAATTTCTAATCGGATTTATTTAGTCATAATAATTAATCGACATGATTTTGCCAGCCCTGAAAATTAGTAATTAATCGACACGATTTTGCCAGCCCTGAAAATTAGTAATGAGAATCGTTGATTATATTGTCAATAAAATAATACAAATAATATAACATACATATGTAATAAAACAAATTATAGTAATAATATATATTATTACATAATGAAATAATCCTTTTAATTATATTTAAAGCACAGGTGCAGAGTTTCACTCCGAACTATCACGTGTTTAGCTTGGTTGAGGCTACATTTGAAATAAACTGATGTGATAGAAAACACGGGTAAGGCTGAAAGTGCAGGCTGACAATTGAATGATGAATTCCAGCTACTCCATTGGGTTCGCCTTATTTGAAAACCCGTCTCTGAAAGAGTCAGCGCCTCGCCTGCTGCGAACCTCGCCGCATGTCACTGCAGACACCCGGCTGAGCGTTTTTGAATCAGACTTTCAGAAGTTAACCTTCTATTTTGCAGGAAAATTAAAAGCCTCTGCCGTCAGAGTTTCAAATGCGGTTCCCGGTTTCTTTGAGAGTATTTCTCTCTGCGTTTCTGTTTATGTCTGACCCCTGGTTCTCAACCCAGAAGTGTGGTCACATGGTGGCAGGCTGGGGCAATTTCCGACATGCAGGTATTTCTTCAGCAAATGTCGAGACTTTTTTTATGCTGAGCATTTCTAATGAGTTTTACATAACATTTGAGTCGTTCTTTCTTTTTTCTTTCAGATTGACTCTGTGTACCGTGTATACAAATAGAGACTGTAATATTTTAATTCAGCACATAGACTCACTCTTTTGTCGGTAATTTCCATGATCTCAATCTGTCAATCAGCGCTCCTTGGTAATTCTTGCCGCTCCACGCAGTGGGACGACCCACACTCCCTAAAAACATCATTAGTCGGCCCCATTGTGCTATGCTTCATCTGACAGCAGCTCATCACAGCTACTCCAGGTAAGTGAGGCAAAGGAAACACACACTCAGGCCCTGACCTCACACTCTGCCGCAGCACAACTCCCAGCTGCTGCAAGATGGGAAACCACAGTGGAAAAATGGCAGGGGCTACAGCGATGAAAAGAATAGATTAGCACACAGTCTAATGTGATTATGGGCTGCACTTGCTGCCCACAGGAGACAGCTCTGTACTTACACATTGCCCTCTGGTGGCCACTGCAGCACAAACATAAAGAACAGGATGTCCCCAGCCTGGTAAACCCACGCCAACTGGGCTTGTGTGTCTCGCTCTCTGCTGTAATGCAGTTCCTCACGTGCATTAATATGAATGCCGCCTTAATAGTTTAACATTCTAACGTAATCAGCATTCGACTTAACGACTATATTTAATCTTTCTCTGAGCTTTGGAACAATACGAGTGAAAATGATTCCAATTATAATTAGCACGAGAGATCTTAGCTTTTCTTTATTAAAGCACTAGAGACATCTTTGTTCCAGTGTCACTTTGCTGTAAGCCTTATCGGGCCACTAGCTTTTTCTGCTCTATTTCACTCATTAAGTCATGAAGCACTTAGTATTATTTGGCTGTGTGAGCACAGGCTAACCATCAGATTGGCACGTAAAACCGGAGATTCTGACATTCTCTAATAAAAAGGAAGTAAATGGCAGCGACAGGGCAGAAAACAACATTCAATCCTCATTAAGAACTGAGTGTATGTCAATAAAGAATGTATGTGTGTAACATATACATATATATATATATATATATACATACTACACTATAATGCTATACTATATATGTAAAAATATATGTTCATATATACACATATATTTATATATATATATTTATAAATATATATACTGCATATGAACGATGTGATGAGTTAATTCGGAACACAGCAACATAGCATAAATATAATTTTATATTTTTATAACATTAATATAAATATTAACTATTTATATGGAACTAATATTTGTAGGATATGCTTTAACTGGTTCACGCACCTTCAATTGAAAAATGTAGTACACTGCATATAATAGACACTTGACATTATGAATTACCATATAAAAATTCAGTTTTTTACTTGTTATTTTGAAGAATATTAATATTATACAAATATATATATATATATAAACATATATGGCATTCAATATTTTAAATATGCCTTTAATTAGCAATTTAAAGTATTTTTTTTTATTTTGCCCTGTTCTCCCTTGAACTGTAACATGGTCTGCAGTCAGTCTTGGTATGTTGACATTGCAACCCAGAAAAAGACATTTTCAGACTGGTTAAAGACTCTTCCTCGGATGAATAAATGCAGTGTCTTTAATGGCCTTTTTAATGATTCACTGCAATACTGGGTCACTGCTTTTTCAAACAGACCAGCCTGCCAAAAAGTGCTCCCCAAAGATCTTTCACAATCAAGGACAATGTCACATCCAAAAACTGCTCTGTCATAACGATAACAGAGCAAGAAGCATGAATTTTTATATATTTTGTAATATATAAATGAAGTAGTGAATAAAATGCTTTTCCAGGCTTCTGGATGACTTGTATACAGTATGCACTATATAAAATATTCATTGTTTTACAATCTCTTTCACTCTCGCCGGAACAATAATTTACAGTCTTGTCTCCTTGTTTCATTGAAGAAAATGTGCAGTTGTTGACACGGAACGTAAACCCCTTTAGAAAGACATGTACTGGTGAAGTGATGTGAGAAGCTGTCTGTTTTTTTTTTTCTTTTTCTTTTTCTTTACCTTGAGGTGCGACTTCTCTTTCAGTCGTCCCCTGACAGGTTCACACTTTCTCCTTGGTTTCAAGCTCTGGACCTGGATGTACTGTGGCTTGTGTGCTTGGAAGAAAAAGGGTCGTAGCAGAAACGCACAACAATAGAAGTGACGTGAGGCCCATTAATCATTGAACTCCATCATTGGATGCAGCGCTCTGCAGGTAAACAATAAACAATAACTGGAGTGGCATCACAATACACATTCCCTTACCATTCAAACATAGCCTTGGAGCTACATCTTCAGTAAGACATAGCTGCAAGTCCTTCACATCGAACCATCCCTGGAGTGTGTTGTCTACTCTTTAGTCAACATCTGAGCATACGTTTCAAAAACTACTGATTCGCCCAACCAGCATGTATATGCCCTGTATATTAAGATCAGTGGGTCTGCCATGGAAATCACTTAGTTGGTCTGAAAACTATTATTTATGTTCTGTAAAAACAAAAATCAGCATAATACGTCCCAGGACCGAGCTCGTAACTCGAGGTGCTCGTATCTCAAATCATTTGTTCCCATAAGAAATAACAGAAAAGCGTTCCAGCCCTCCAAAAAAAACTCGTTCTTGATAGCATCCTTCTGCTTTAGGATGGTACATGTCGTGGATGTACTGCGTTCATACATGCGTGCAAGATCACTCATGCGGGCACCACACTCACATATCACCAATTTCATGCTTTATTTCCATGGTCATCATGCGTTTCTTCTTCTCACTACCATCCTTACCACTCACTTTCTTAGGACTAATCACTATTATGAAGAATAATGCACAAAATAGAGAGAAAATCATGTAGATAACGCAAACACATGGGACTCATGGGAGATGCGTACGGAAGTCGACGAACACGAAGAGTCGAAGTGAACGAGTGAGCGGAATGTATACCATTTCTGCTTTAACATCAAGAGTATTGTATAGGGAAACAGTATGCCCAAGTATGTAGCACCTCAATATGGACAATTATTTTAAATAGTAAATGTTGAATGAGCTAGAGAGGTAAGTGTTAGGTCTCCAACCTGTGACTAGAAGAGGGGTCACCAACCAGTGGTCCGGGGACTGTAGCCGGTCCGTAGGTCATTTGGTACCTGGGGCGTAGTGGGACACAGTGAAAGAATGTACTTCAGTTTTACTCATTTACTTCATGGCAAAACAATAGGTCATTCAGACTTTGATACAAACAGAATAAAGTCTAGACTATGTATTATTTCTAAATCATTTCCTTCAATGATGGCGCAGTATTACCGGTGATACTGGCCGATCAATCCTTGGTACAAAACAGTTCCAGGTTAGGTGCCTAGTCACTCTCAATATCCAGGGTTGGTGAACTGTCCCCTGCCTCTACCGTTGGCAGCTACCGCTGACTTCCACCTCCCAGTGCTTGTACAGATGGACAAAATTGCACAAAGCTACTTACAGCATTATCTACTACTTGTTTTTTATTCTATTAAAAATACTCAAAATAAAGTAACCCCTTTTTTCTGGAAATGTTCAAAATGGCTGAGCATAGTCACTGTATATAACTCTACAGAGACCAGATCTTTTCAGCAGTGACTCAGGCTGCACAGATTGTTCAATCGCTGCAGGTTGTTCTCCAGGCTGCAGAGCAGCTGCAAACCTCCTTATGATCTCTTCACCACCAGCGTGGCAGCATGGAGAAGGTTCAGATCCTAATGCACTGCTTCTCAAAAGCACTGCTGGCTTTTTATCAAAAATTCAGGATGGATTTTTTTTTTGTCAGAACTGATATCAGACAGCTGGAGTGATGACTACGGTATAGTTTTACACTGGTGGATCAATATTCTTCTCCAAGGTCGTTATTTGTTGGGGAAGATTAGTTACACTGGTTAGACTTGTTACAATTTTAATCTTATAGCAGGCAGTGTTGTCCTACAAGGTTTTGTAGCTTGAACAAACCTCATATTCTTTGCATATGTTTTTTTTTGTTAGACTGCAGAAAGACATTCATTTTGCCATTTAAGCATTTATTTAATTATTTTTTTCAATTGCTTTTTTCTAATAATTATCTTCAGATCACTAATAATTATCTTCAGATCACTAGGATGTCTGTAGCAGGGCTGCCAAACATACGGCCCGCAGGCCAAAACTAGCCCTCACTCAGGCCCACTTGATGAATTCTGAAAAAAAAATTACTGTTCAGGAAATATTTTGTAAAATTATATTTCATTAAATATGAATATTTAACTAATGTAACAATCTCTTTTGCATGAAAACAAAGGGGGAAAAGACAGACTTTTTTGTTATTAATATGTACTTGGGTTATGATTGTACTGGTCCAGCCCATTTGAGATCTAATCCTTAACCAAAATGAGTTTGACACCCATGTCTATAGGGTACCATAAAATATGACTTTGAAAAGTTAGAGAAAAGGCTAATCCTTAGCTCCAAAAGTCTAAGGCAGAGTTGAAATAGCTAATTAACGAGAGAGAGAAAAAAACTAAAACTGTAAATATAGCCAAAGAAATACAGCTTCAATCTTGCCCAGAAATATGCTTAACACCAAAAGTACTTAAAAAACAGTGTTTTAACATTTCAATGGTGAAAAAAATGCAATAAAGCAATTGCAATTTTCTAGTACCTACTCTATATCATGCCCAACTCAATTTCACAGTGGGCCAAAATTAAAAACTGGGACGAAGTCTCAGGCCAAATTTTTAATAATATTTATTAATAATTTACTGAAAATCTGCATGTTTTCCCTTCTCTCCAGATATGTACGCAGAGGTTTAATTTAGTTGTATCCCCCGTGTTACAAAGACTATAATTAAAAAAATAATTAAATAAAAAAATATTGTAGAATTTTTTCCTATGGAAACAAACAAATTAATTAAATAAAAAAAAATTGTAGAATCTTTTCCTATGGAAACAAACTTTAGTTTTGTGTAAACATAAAATCTGGAACAACCAAAGCCTTTCTTCCTTTCTTACAGTATATGTCTCTCTCTATCTCTAGACTTTTTTTTACAGGCCAACAAAAGGACAACCAAAAATCTATGTGGTATAATATTGCGCATATATCACTAACACTACAAATCCTGCAAATGGCCGACCAGTTCTAATACACATTTGATATGATCTCGTGGACCAAATATAATTACACTGGGTGCCAGATTTGGCCCGCGGGCCTAAGTTTGACACCTGTGCTCTATATTGTCATTTTTTAAGAATGCTATTGTCCACAAAAACAACAAAACTAGTTTGTGAATTTAATCCTGTTATGGATGATATATATTTTGCCTCAATTCCCTTTCTTCTTTTATCCCCGGCAGAAAACTTCGACCTTTGAAAAAAATGAAATATAAAGGGAGATATTATCTTCCCCTCTTGTGTGCACAGCATTAGTGGAGGCCAGCTGAGCAGAAAATTGGGAGGATCAGAGGTACAAAAAGTCTTTCTATCCGTTTTTATTATTAAGTGTAGGGATGCATTCATGTGTAAATGTACCCTCCATATTATGTTTTTTCTCTCTGTGGACATCACAAAAGGACCTGCCCTCTTTGCCCCTTGTGGCAAATACACCAAAAGTACCCAGACTCCAATGTTTGTTTCATGGTGTGCTGACGCAAACGTAAGGCTCTGATCATACCGTCGGCAGTAGTAGTGAAAAGTTTTCCACAGCACTTGATGGTATATATATATATTTTTTAACATTAATAGTCTTCCATCTTGCCATGGCTGAGTTGTTGTAATTGTGACCCCCAGGCGGCGTTTATCCTCCTCTTTTTTTGTTTGTCTGCTGAATATAATCAATTTCAAAGAGAGAATGAAACTGCTAAAGAGCTGAGTGAGCCAGATACGAAATGTGCCAAAAACAATTATCGTCTCTTGCATCTTCACCAAGTGATGAGCATCCTCCCTTTCCGCAACTTCAGTAAGAGAATCAAGTTTAATCACATCTTGAGGAAACATCGGGGTCGTTTTTCTCTCTTCTTCCTTAAAAAAAAAAAAGAAAAAAAATCTGGAATATATCTCATTTCGCCGCTCTGACAGACAAAATCGTTTTACTTCAAAGACAGACGAGCAGAGGGGAATGGAGGGAGACACAGAAAAGTTTTTTTTTCCTACTCTTGATTAACATTAATAAGCTCCCTCTCTCTCTTTGGGGCCCCGGTTTGATGTGAGGACTGAAAATTAGAACATGGTATAAATGATGCCGAACGTGATCCTTTCAGCTTCAATGAGAGAGGAAGAAAAATGACTCCTGGACACCAGCCTTTATTGTGGACCACAGTGATAGCTCACAATGTGCCACAGTCATGAAAAAGTAATGGAGAATTTAATTAACAGCCAAATGTACATTAAACATAAATGTGAATTTTAAAATCAAATGGATTAAATTATAAAGCCGTGCATTATTAAAGGCCAATTAAAGCGGGGAAATAAAATTAAAATGCAAATTAATGAAGAAGGAGGTTTGTCTCCGGGACTGTAGGATGTAAAAGTAATGTGTAATTGCATTGTGACTACTGTATAATAAACACCAGAACCTCGCATGTGTAAACTATATCTGTGTATTTGAAAAACTACTGGTGAATTAAAATCAGCAAACGTAGAAAAGAAATAAGGTGCTTTGTCACCGACGCTGTCCCAGCCAACCTCGGTGTGCCTCAGGGCTCTACATGGTCTACTTCTTTTTTTACTATGTCCTCTATCTAACCCAACTCTTTGTGCACGCCTCTTTTAAAAAGTCTATTATCCTCATGTTTTGTACTACGAAATGTACTGCAAGCCTTGTACTAAAGCAATTTCTCTTTTTCTGTACCTCTATATAGTATATAAAGCAGTGTTTCCCAAACTTTTTTCAATAGACATTATTTGTAAACTCCTCGGAAAAATTATGCGAGATCACCCAAAAAATAAATCTAGCGACCCACCTGAGGTTCGCGACACAGTCTTTGGCAAACATTGACATAAAGTATACTACTGCAACCCTCTAACACAATTCCAATTTCATGAAAAATAAATCTAGCGACCCACCTGAGGTTCGCGACCCAGTCTTTGGGAAACAATGACATAAAGTATACTACTAGAACCCTCTAACACAATTCCAATTTCATGTTTTCCATCCACGCCAGGTCTATAGTACCCTGCCCTCTACTGGTGACAGGAGGTAGAATGTTGGAAAAGTTAAGAATTCAAGAAAATAAAAATAAAAAACCTCATTCTGCTGTAAATGTTTCTATTTTTTTTGCCACCATTGGGTTTCAATTGGTTTCCAAAGTAGGGGGAAACACCCCAGGAAGTCCAGCAATATTTGTCGGAGTAGGGAAAAGACAGTTATTTTTAATTTTCTTTTCTTTTTGTTAGATGAAAATTGCAGGAGAAATTAGTGCTTTAAACAAAGTTCAGTTGGGATTTTAAACAATATCGGTTTAGCGTCGACATGAGGAGCTCAGAATTGGTCCTTTCTATGATAGTTTTTTTTATTTTCTGAGGAGCTCAGAATTGGTCCTTTCTATAAAATGGGGAGTTTAGGAACTTGAGACAAAGGATTTAAAATTTGCCATATAAGGATATATTTAGGATGTTATGTGAAAAACAGTGATATACATACCAGTACTGCATAAATAATACTATTAAGTGGAGCAAATCCGAATGTGCACTGCAAAGCCACATCCCTGTGCTTGACACTCTTTGATTTGGTGACCATGGCAACGTGAGCCTCAGAGACTTGCAGCAGGACAAGAGAGGGGCTAGGCCTGTTTCTCATCACATCCTCACTGACGTCACCGATCCACCATTCTACATTCCGTGTGTTATCCTGTGGAAAAAAAAAAAAAAAACGACTCTGCCGAGAGGCACACCAGTGAAGCGAGACGCCATCAACACACACCAGAAATACTTACTCAGTCGCACGTAGCTCACATCGTGTTGTTCCTCTCATTCTTCAAACAAATTCATATTTGAGTTGATAACTTCTCTCGGGAGAGTTGATGTTCTCTCAGATCTGCTGCAATTTTCCCGCAGCCTCTCACATCCTAGTGAAAAATGTTCAAACAGAGAGATTATGTCTGCACTCCGTGTTTTTCATTTGGTTCTCTAAAGTTTGGGACTCGCCAGAAATCTTGCCACTTAAGGAAAAAAGGGTGACAAGCAGGAGATTTAATGTTTATATACGGTCCAAAACAACAAGTTTTTCCTCATAGATTTTTTTTTTTTTCAAGTGAAGTTCGAAGTGTAATGTAGAATAGGTTCACCTTAATCTTACACAGTGGAACTTTAGGGTCTGATGATAACAGTTTCTGCTGGATTTCACCAGTCGATACCAGTTCACACACGTTGTGTAGGTTTGAAGCGACAGCTGTGAATGTGCAAACCTGGGGGAACAGTGACAATAGTCAACAAGAAAAGGCATTCTGCAGAAAAGGTCTGAGAACCACTGATTTAAAGCAGGGATGTCACATATTATCTTTTTTGCCGAAATCCAATATTCCAATATTGTCCAAACACTTAATTTCCAAATTTGATATCAACCCATGACGATACATGCAGCCATTTTAGCTCACATCACATATTCCCTGTCGTGGAATTAACACATTAACCTACTTTTATCGTGATGCCCCATTTAAGGTATTCCACAAATTAGCATTATCGGAGGAAAAACCAAAGTCCACAGTGCTTTCCACTGGTTTGACATTTTTTTGTGTAGTAATATTATATTTTAAAATCAGTGTTAGTGGTCATACCATGAGACTACACACTCTAGTACAGTAGGTGGCGCTAGGGTCTCTATGTAACCTGGCGTTCAAGTGTTATATCAGAACGTGGGAAGAACCATAGCGAGATAAATCACAAATCATATCGAGTTGGGAGTTGAGTGTATCGTTATATACATAATGATAACGTAATTCTTTTTGCCTTCATTATCATGGTTTTAACGACAAATTCATGAATAGCTTCCTTGTTGTCTGACAAATATTCCTGTTGCATGCTTGATTCCGACAGAGTCACCAACGATTCAGAAGTGTTACATTTTATTTGGTCTTGTTTCTTTTCTTTTTTTTTTTTTTTTTGAGCTTTTTCATCTGTTTTATATCCACAGGTTAAAACCCATCATAATAGTTGAAAGAAATAAAAACTTTTTTTTTTTCACATACTGTTTACAGAAATCATCCTCCTGACACACAACAATAAAAACAGTTGATTAGGCCCAGCCCAGTGCGAGATTTCACAAAAATGCAACACAAAAGAAATGTCTCAAAGCCCCGTGACTGCAAGGTCTCTTTCCCATAACCAGAGAAAACAGTTCTCAGAGACATGTCAAAATGTCTGCTGGGGCAACACAACAATTGTGTTACTGCATCGCCTATGTTGTATTACAAAAGACAGAAGAAAAAGCAATGGAAATGAATCTGGAACAAGTACAAATAAAAAAGCAAAGAGATACAAAGAGGGAAAGGAAGACGACCTCATCTATCATATTACAACAGTGATAAAGTCCTTCTCTTACTCTCTAGCAGTTAAATGCACATAGAAATTCTGTATGGGTGCCCCAAAGGGACATTTGCCTGCAAATTAGGTTTGGGATTTTGCTGTGATGTCAACAAAGAAGATTTCAGGCTCAACTGGGCAGATTTTTCTAAAAATTTTCTGCCACACACTTAACGTTGAGGCCCATAGAGGAAGCATTTTGACCGCGCTTTGGTCGAACGGTGAAAATGGAATGTGAAGTTAATCTGGCTCATGTAAAGCACCCATACATGCACCTTAAATACTCCAGTGAACACCTATAAAAACATCTTATTTTTCCATCCATCATCCTAAGGTGGACTGCGTCCATGGCCTTCTAGAAAGAGAACTACTTTTAATCCAGTGTGTGAAGATATCCATTCATAAATATCCACCCCACCCCCCCTAATACATTTTTAAATGCCCCTAGCTCTCGGGTAGAAAGCTCTCAGAGGGAAAAGCCTTTAACAGTACTGTATTGCCTTAAGCGGAAGAGATTTAACCAGTGAGTCATGGGGATTTTTCCCATTCAAACCATTTAGAGTTGCCCCGGCGTTTCGTTCAAGTTCACTTAGTTCAACCCAGTCGTGAGCACCTGAAAGAGACCACCCACTGCTAAATCTCCTCAGGCTGCACTGAAATAATTTAGCTAAATTTGGAATCCTTCCTCAGTCTTAATCAAGTGAAATGGTGGCAATAATATTAAAACATAATTCAGAAAAACAAACATTGATTTAAAAGAGCCATTATTGTCTCTGAGGCGTTTAGAGAAGATACCAACACGCTTTTAGACAGAGACGAACAACTGGCGCGTCGTAGTATTTCAAAATCGGCTAAAACTAAAACAGAATTGTGACACTTTTAGAACAGACAGTGGAGCAAACTGATTCAAAAGGACCAGGTTAGACAGTGGTGGAGCAGCCACTCTTTTCTTAACAGTTTAAGATTTAAAGCCAAATCTTACAGCGTGTCCGCAGGTGTGGCTTTGTCAGAGGGTTAGTAAAGAGAAAGAAAAAATTAATTAAAAGTTGGCTCCTAGTTCTCAGCTCTGATGGAGGTTTTGCATAGCATTAGAAATTGACCCTAAACTTTTCTTAATAAATCGGTCGTAAATCAGTGGTTCCCAAAATGAGGGTTGGTCAAAGCTGCTTCAAATCTACAGCATGGTGGTTTCCTGTTTACTAGCCTCATAAATAGCAGTGGGAACCCATTGCTATTCATAAAAATATAATTTCAGTTCCTTCACCTGCAAACAGTGCAAGATAGACAATCCATCAATTTACCTTCTATATTTCCGACATGTGGTTCATTTACGCAGCAAACTCATTCCGACCTCCAGACACACAACCGTACGGTGAGCGGACTCTGTGCACAATGATCACCAGGTAATTGAGTGTCAATAGCTTGACAGAACAATAATAATTTCCACGGGGCAGCCATGTGCGAGTGCCTAGGACTTAATCTTGCAGATAAAATCCATGTTTATTATCTAAACGACGCTCCAAGGGCTGTCATCATCATCTTGGAAACAAACTGTCCGTCCTTTCAATCTCCCTATTTCATTCAGCCGACATTCTAACAGTAAAAAAAAAAAAAGATTGCAGATGATGACCTTGGATGCACAACGACTGCACTTCTTTATGTAGACATAGCTTGTCCACGTGCTTATTGGGAAGTGGAATTGGTGGTGGCGAAAAAGATAAAAGGCATATTTGATCATTTGCTCCTGCCTGTTAATGCTGAACAAAGGCCTTCACAGGTGCTTCAGTTTCTCAGAGCAACGTTGCCCGCGATAACCACGGGAGGTTATTACCGCCTTGTAATTGCACAAAAGAAATGGAAAAAAAAATAGCACGAGAAATGTCACGCAACTTGTTGGACGTTTCAGAATGCACTGCTCATGGACCGCACAAAGGTAAGACTTCATGATTTATATAAAAAAAAAATCGATGTTTTCCCCTCAGCTTGGTCTTAATTCAATTCCCACAGTAAGCTTAAGATACAGTTGAGTTTTCCTCTGTAGTGAAGCCCCTGCAATTTCAGTTTGGGGCGCACAATGCTACCTGGGAGCTCAGTAAGAGTCGTACAAAGACCAGATGGTCTTTATTTCTTTTTAAAAAAATGTAGTGCTAACTGTAAAAACCAAATTTCAGAGGTTTTAAAGAAACTTGAAACATTTAGCAAAGCCTAATCATATACTGTTCATCAAGCATGCATAAATTTGATGTGAAATATACCTCATATAGGCATGAATTTATTCATATATTTGGAGTAAATATCCTTATTTATTTTAGAAGGAACACTAAAGATGTGATTTGATTGGCTGCACAGGTTTTGCCCTTTGCCTGTATTTTCTGTTTTGATGGCAGTTGCCTTGAAATTGGTAAGTAAAAGTAGCCAACGTAGCTCATAAAAAATTTAAAGAACAATAGCTAAATATAGCAATATTGTGTCACAGACCTTTTCAGATTAAGAACCATGGTTTATAGCTAGACCTTATCCAGTAAACTAATAGAATCTTCCACAGAGGAAAAATCAAAGATGAAATAATATATGTGTACCACTGTACGATATATCTTGAGATCAAATACTAAAGAATGAACATTTATTTAGCTTGTTTAAAGTTAAAACCAGAAGTAGAGGCTAAATCTGGGACTTTTTTTTTTTAACATCTCACAACTTAGGCCTAAATAAAATTGAAACTTTGCACCTACTAGTAGAAGATGTGGTTTGCACCGCTGCACCACTTTAGCCTAACAGCAGAGTCCTAAATTACACAAAACGATATTTTAGCCAAAGGATCAATAAAACTTTTTTTTTAATGCTAGTATTGTAGCTTCAGGTCCAATAGCCCATGTTTATAACAAAGTTCTTGTTCTCTCATGTGAGAGGCCCAAATCCTTTGGCTCTTAACATGAACATAAAGCCTGTCTGTTTTGTCTGCAACTGTACAACCCAGGCTATTTTACATTAGATTCCATTGTTATTCCATCACAGATTTAACACACTTTTGCTTTCCAAGAATTTCTTTTTTTTACCTCTTCTAATTGATCATTATATTTTGCAAACAAAACCAATACTGACAAGGAACCTTTTAGCCTGACAAAGGTCAAAATGCCGGACTATGCAACCGTGTCAATGATATTTATTCCTGTGGAGAATCAACCATTGAATTGAGATCATAACATCATATCTGGAACAGCAGCATCTGAATGCTGTTCTCGCTCGTCTCTAGAGAATTCACTTCCATTCACCTTGTCGGCTTGTGCTAGGGCTGCTGATTTGCAATGACGGATAGAGTGATGCTCAGAAAAGGAGAGAGAGTCACAAACAACCCATTGCGAGTTTCCTTTTGGGAGTGTTGGCTGTCAGCTCTGGCAGATGGGTCTCAGTAATGGTTCCTCAATCTGACAGCCAAAACTAAGAATTGGTCATCTATGTCCACAAAGGCTTTACTGGGATACTGCCGAAACCGTTGTTTTGCCAAATTCTCATAAGATGCGATAGAAGCATATGGAGCCACAGCAGAAGATGAACAGAACATCCTGAATATTTTATGTATGTCCATGTGTGTTGTTGTTTTTTCTTTCGGGCAAGAACTTTTAACCATCATGTCCTCAACATTTTGTTTGTGGTACAAAAATGGTTGGGGACCACTGCTTTGAATGACTCATGCTGCTCATGTTTAGTAGATGGTTGGCGGTAACATTCAAATATCCACCAGATGTATCGATATTTTTTTGTATATTCTCTGTATTTTTATATCATTCTCAAAGGTTTCAGCAGTTAAGAGGATGTTATTTCTGTGCTTATATATTGTAAATGTTATCTGTTATGTTTATGTTATAAAAACTTAATTTTGACACCTATTTGCTGGATCATGTTGAGGACTGATCACTAAGCTCTCTAAGGAAGTTTACAAGAAGATGTAACATCTAATGCAAGGATGCCTAAAGTCTGGCCCGAGGCCCTAGTGTGATCCTCAACTATTTTTTTTTTAACGCCGCCCAGCTTGTATTAAAACGGCTCACCAGCTTCCGGGATTATTTTCTCTGAGAGATTTTACTACACACAAGTCTTTTGTATTCAATTTCAATGCATCAAAGAATGTCATCAAATATGGCCCTTTGAAAAAACAGCACACCCTGATCTAGTGAAAGCTAATTATTTGTCATCGTGACACAGCACACCACTGCACATGACAAAATGTGACCTCTGCTTTTCACCCATCAGCAAAGTGAGCAGGGGGCATCATAAGCGCCCGGGGACCCTGATCTGCCTCCACTTGACAAACTGGATAAATAACTCACTACGCATACTTGGCACGAACGAGGCAAAAGTCAATAAAAATCAACCAGCAAACAGCAACACTACACTGTCTATTGTTCAACTTTCCTCGATACATTTGTTATGGCATTTGGCTTTCATCGGGCCAAACCAAAAAAAACAGCCCGAAGTAAACAGCGTGGAATTTTCTGTTTGCCATTTGAATAAAGTAAATTCTCACACAGCTGTATCTGAGAAATACTATTTCTCAGAGTTGAAGCCAACTATTTATTGCTGTATAAAAGCCGTGGACTGTTAAAAATCAACAATTTCAAACTATCCTTGTATCTTCGCCGAAGCAGACGACGGATGAGTGCTGCGGAATATATAGCGCGAATTACGATCAATATCAGAACAACATGACAGATAGGTGTATTATAAAAGTACTCTGACACTTGTAGTACCTTACACAACTATATTAAGCTCAACCACCATAAGGTATGTACAGTGCAGCAAACAGCAAGGGTTTGCAATAAACACAGTCAGACTACTGACCTCGTGTGGGGTAGATACAGTTTTGGCAAGCATGACTCCAAAGAACAAAGGTCATAATATGTAGCTGCGGGGAAAATAAGTATGAAATCTGATAAAGCAGCCATTCTTTCTCCAGGAGATGAATGATTAAAAAACCCAACCTGGCCTATAAAAAGGGATATTATTACAAATATGAGATATTTCAGGATTATTATGATGGTAATTTGTCTTAAAACTGGCACCTGAAACCAAAAAAAAGCCAGATGTTATTTACTGATAAAAATAGATAGAGTGTTTTTTCTGAGAAGGCTCTTGCTAGCCTCCAGCCACAGTTGCTTTCCCCCCAGCGACCAACATACAACTCTGAGCATGCTTTCTGTCAACAATCCAATGCCAAGGTCAGTTACAGAGAGCAGATGTAAGAACTGTTCAACCTATACATTTTCTATGCTGCCCTCACAGCAGAAACTCCCTCATTCACTCGCACTACAATTAATGTATTCAGAATGGCAATAAATGCTTAGATGAGGTCAGACAATACCCTCTGCAACCTACTAACAGTTCTGACACAGCGAGAAAGCGCAAATGTGTGTACAGTGTGTATTATTGCTCTGTGCGGGCGTTCATTTGCGACAGAAATATATAACAAACCTAAGTTTCCTCTTCCAACAAATTCAATTTCCTCTTTAAAATGGGCACTCCCTGGCAAATGGACTGTCCTTGAATGGATGCCATTTAATAACTTTCCGTGGGTAGAAGCCTGTTTGTGAGTTAAATAAACGCCCTGCAGCGCAGCACACACAACGCCCTGCAGAAACTTTCCAAGAGAGGAAGGAAGCAAAGGAGTGTGTGTGAACAGCTAAAGAAGGGCAGCGAGTATCTCCGACATCAACTGAAGGGGGGAAGGACGAAAAAAGGTGAGACAGCTACCGGTGCAGAGATTTCATCAAATCTGCAACTGAGCAGCCAGCGGCCAGAGTAGAGGACAGAAGCAAAAGTACACAGCTCCAATGGAGGCAAAAGTCGATACAGGAAGCCTCTCTACAATCTGTGAGGTTAAGGGTGCTGGGTGTTTATGTAATGTCAACGCAAATTAATTACCCAAATATCTGGCGGTTTTGCTAATTCTGCCCACTTGTCTCAAGAGGCTAATTATCACCATCAACCTCCTCTACTCATCGCTAGGATTACGGGGCTAATCTCCAAGCTTTCACCCTTTAGAGACAATGTTTTTGTTTTTTTCCCCCACCATTAGAACAAAACTGTATTGTTTCCCAGTGACTCAGTTCCCATTCCACACTGCTAACTTGGAACATTTGTACCACGTGAAGTGGGTCTCTTTCAGCTGCTTACGTGCCTGACCTTAACCAGTTATGCTAATGAATCACATATGTCAGAATTGCTAGGCATTTATATAGTACAACGGACTCAACAGATGTGGACGTACAAGGTAAGATTTGACCCATTTAAGATACCTGTGAGAAAAAAGAAAAAATATTTTCTGTCTATTTTCTTTTCTGTCTGATTTCAGGTATTTGTTGTACTTTGTGAGTACTGCAAAAACATTTGGAATGTACGCTTAATTTAAACCTGGGGACATGACATCAATGGAATGTACGCTTAATTTAAACCTGGGAGGAATTAAGCATTCAACTAGTCGCAACCTAACACATTGTGGAAAAGAAATCGTTTTCTCTTTTTACTTAAAATTCAGCAGTAAGACTTGTTCTTATTTAAAACACTACTACATAAACACCAGTTATTGTAAATGGAAATCTATCAAATACCGCCAGAATGTTTTGTATTTTTGTTTGTTTTGGGGTTTTTTTTTTAAGTCTGCTGCAATGTTCTTCTGCGCTGTGGGCGACAGAGGCGGAGAATATGCCAAACACTGTAGGAGCAGGGAACTGGCCAATTAAGTCGCATTAAACGCAAATGCTTCATCCAATAAAATGTTTTGAGTTTTAGTCCAACGATCTTGAAAATGCAGCACTTGGCTGCCTATAAAGAAGGAAACAGTTTATTATCCTTTAAATGTAAAAAAAATAAAGTAATAAATAAAATAAAGTAAGAATAAAAGTAATAGCCAATCTCCTTGACAGGAGAAAACACAAGCGACTGGATTGCTTTTTTTTTTGGCATTTCAGCTTCATATGGTGATGGCAATTCCCCAAAGCACTGAGCTGTCAAAATAAATAAATTTCCAGTTTTGTAAACTAAGGCAATGGGGGTCAACTGCATTTCCAGGAATTACCAGAAATTACAGTTTAACTTTTGGGCTCAAATTTCAGTTGTAAAAAAATAAGGAAAAACATTTTTTAAAAAACAGTAGTCAGTAAACTGACATCAGTGGATGTTAAGACCGACTACTAGCATTCAAATTTACTTAAGTATCTGTAAATGCTTATATTTGTTGGCAAACCAACTCATCTGGCAATTAGTGAAGTAAACAAAAAAAATTGGACTGCATTCTTTGGCACGTACAGGAATGCAGTCCCCTGTTTGTTCCCAGTGCTATCAAATGTTCCCTGCTGGCAAAAAAAATGAATCTTTTCAATCCGTGGCATTTCCCGAGGAATGTGAATGGAATGTTATCTGCTTCCAAGTGGAATGAATGGGTCATGGTTTTGTCTTGGATTTCATGAGCAACCTAGTGTATCCACTCTGAGCGCTTTCTCCCACAATTCACTTGGGCAGAATAACAGTAAGCTTTCCTTGAACAGTAAGTCTAGACATACACCAATGCAGACAATTTGTTCCTCAGCAATGCTGCTAGGTTGGTTTTGAAAACAGAAGCCAAATTTCAAAGCATCTTCCCTATGCTACACATTATGCGTTCAAGGAACTTGGAAAAGATAAATATTAGGAACACTTCATAAAATAAAGGCACTCCAAATTTTCATTGTCCTGTGTGCTTTCGGTCTGCAGAGAGGTAGAGGCAGGTGAAGCTGTGCAAGTTGCCTTATCTACATCTGCATTGTCACAATGCTTCAAAAAAAGGGGAGATAAACGCAGGTGATCTGAGCAGTCAGAAGACGAAGAAGAATCTAAAGACAGGACTAGGACTAGTGAGCTGAGGTCTGCTACCTCAAAGAGAGCAAGGCAGAGATCGAAGGAAAGTAAAAAAAAAAAAAAAAAAAAAAGGCACCAGCTTTTGCTTCACTGGGAACGCTCCCACAATCCGATGCACAACCCTTCCTTTTAATTGTAGGACAGAGCGGTGAAGACTGTCCCGTGATCCTGTGAAAAAAAGCTTAACTTCTAAAATATGAAGTGAGCGGCGCGCGTAGGCCGCAGATGAGACCACAGTTTTCAAAACCTGTCATCTCTGAGCTGCGTCGGGGACTTAAAAGGCTTAAGGCCCATTGTCCGGCGAGGGTGTGCTCTCTCTTTGGTTCCATCCACGGTCCTGCTGCAAGATGCCAAGCCCAGGTCAATCAGGGTGGAGTCGGCTGGGTTGAGGGGAGCTATGCGGAACGAGGGTAACGTTGGCGAGCCGTTTGTAGAGCACGGTGCTGATCGGGAGGTCGGAAAAGGAGTCGAGAAGGGGTCAAAGGCTGATGCCGAATCAAAGGTGACTGAGGGGTCAGCTTTGAGGGCGAACGGGTCACAATCTGGCGATGGGAAGGGGTCACAGTTAGAGAAAGGGTTGTTGGGGGAAGGCTGGTAGACCAAGGGGCTGCTGTCTGAGCGGGTAGGGCCGCGGCCTACACCTGAGTTTGAGCTCCCAGCTGAAATAAAGCTCCAGGGATCGATACGGGGGCGGATGGGTGACGGGCGAGGCCGGGGAATAACACTGACCTCCAGCCTGCGTGTTTTGGGGCTCCAGAGGGCAGGGTTAGGGTGGAGAGAATAGGAAGCTGCAGGTTTGTCGTCAGAGTCCTGTGTGTCTTGGCACAAAGGCAGATCCAAAGCTGGAAAGAATAGAGAAGAAAAAACATTAAAGGGACACTCGGCTTATGTAGACCTATAACTGTAAAGGCGAGGAGCTGTTATGAGGTCGGTTACAAACTGAATGGTCATTAAAACCCATTAAGTCCAGTTATTGTGATTTTGGTCTCTGTCTGCAGAAAGATAGAGACAAATGGAGTTGGATCACTCACCTCTGCATTAGCATAGCGCCTTTAAGGCAGTCGTAGATAAAGACCTCTGCATTAGCACAGCGCCTTTAAGGCAGTCGTAGATAAAGCAGATGATAGGAGGTGTTCAGCTGTTAATATGCATGAGAGCTAAACTGCTAGTTACTATATTATAGATACTGCCTCCAAACAAGTAACACTGCTATTTTATGAAGATGCATTATTATTATAATTTATTGCAAACTGAATGATTAGAACAACACACTCATGGTCAACACACCTCAGGGAGAATAAGGATTTAGTTTCCTTGTTGAATACACTTCAGATTGTACCACATATCAACAAGACTTTCTACAAGCTAGGCTTCCCTTAGCAATTTTATGGCATGTAGCAGTTCTTCCTGATTGATTAGGCACTAAAGGTAATGACTATAACACATGTCAATCAATTAAAGTGTTGTAATTACTCTGTTGGATGTAACTAACTGTACCACAGATTAAACTTGTGTTATATAACTGCCTTTTGGAGGGATTTATTAAATTAGTAACTTGTTTTTGGAGGGATTTATTAAATTAGTAACAACTTTATATTTTTGCACTTTGATGCTAAAGACAGTATCTTGCTTTTTTCTGTCATGTTAACATAAAACCTTCGGTAAAGTTCTGAAATTTAAAAATCAAACACAAAACTGAAAAATCGATGGCAGCAAAAAAAAAAACAAAAAAAAAAAAACAATCAACGCCACAATATGTTGCTGCAATTAGCCAAATTGATGTATGTTATCATGTATTGTAACTACTCGAGAAAGCTGCGAGCAGCAAACAGCAAGTGTAAATTGGCAGTGACAAGAACATTAAACTTGGAATAAATCAGCCTGAATGAGCATTTGCCGTTTCCACTGTAATGCGTCTGCCAAATGGCATTACTTGCGTCAACAGCAAGTCTAGGAGCATGCTAAAGCCATCCAATCTGACAAGACAAGAGCTTTCAGGAGTCACAGGAGTGCAGGAGAGAGAGAGAGAGAGAGAGAGAGACAGACAGACAGAGAGAGAGAGAAACAGACAGAGAAAGACAGACAGAGAGACAGACAGACAGAGAGAGAGAGAGAAACACTAGTGAAGGAGTTCTGTGAATTCAGCTTTTACTTCCAAGCACACAGTCATTGCCAGAAACCTTCTGGCAATCTGTCTGTACGCATCTGAGGCTGAGCCTTCACACTCAACAGACGTAATAAGATGTTTAGCTACAACGTTTGCTGTTTAATTAAGTGTAGCCTTTTTCGCCTACGCTCGCCTGACGGAATGAGCACACGCCGTTTGTGAGATCACAGTTGTTAGCGGCGGAGCAGCCAAAGCATGTCTACTCTGTACCTAAGGGACGGTGCTG